AAAAAAAAAAAAAAAGAAGAAAAGGGAATAATTCCACTACAGGACTGGGAGTAAGCACAACAACTCCAAAGGCAATGGGGCGCAATGCTGCTTGAGATACTCCAAGGAGCTGTGGGGTACACTGAGCACAGGGAACTGGGCATTTATCCACTGGCTCCTGTGCCCTCTTGGGGGAAAGTTGCCCACTGGGACATTAACTCCCCTATACTCCTACTTGTACCTGACATAGTGGAGGGGACTCTGGAGGCTCAGAGAACATCCTCAGGTACAGAAGCATAGAGACCCTGAGTCATGCTGGGAGCTTCCTGCCAACCCAGGTGGGCCCTGAGGACTCAAGGAGAGCAGTGGCAGCTTATAGTACAGATGGCTTGTCACCACCAGCTACCAAGCTGGACAGCTGCTGTCATGATGCACCACTGTGCCTTTGTCTAGACACAGGTCACCTTGGAGCAAACCAACGCCATGTCAAGGCAGAGTTATGACTCAGAACTTCCACTCCGGCTATGGCTGAAATCAGCAATGGCCAAAGGGGCACACGAGGACACTGACTTGCCAGTGAGGTGCCAGGAGGATAAGCAGCACACAAGGCTTGGATTCCTGTTATGGAAACTTACATTCCAAAACAGGTGCTGGCATGTCGTAGCTGTGTGACCTTGGCCTCGTCCCTTGACCTCTCTGAGACTCAGTTTTCTTATGTAGAGAATGGAGCACGGCCCAGCTGTAGGAGGACCATAGGGACATAGCTTCTCACATCTCTCACCTACTGCTGATGGGTGGGGGAACTAGAACAGTTTTGTCTGGAGGGTGATTTGTATCTTAGATTGGTACATTCCACTGGAGCCAAAATTCACTAGTATCTAGTGTTCTAATAAAGTAAGTATGGGTATGCACTCAAGTTCGGTCATGGGGATGTTTGCTCCAGCTTTGTTTATAGTGTTAAATAAGAGGATATTAATAAAATAATGGGACATTAAATAGTAAGATGAAATTTTATACAAACATTAAAATGGATGTTATAGAAGACTACTTAATGACATAGAATGATATTCACAATCTATTAAAAAGTAAACAAGTAAGTCCTAAAATGGTATTCCAGCATAAGTCCAGCCCATGGACACATGCATGCATGGGGCAAGACTGACGAAAAAAACTTTAAGGTCCAACACCAAACTGTTAGTGTTAGTTCATTGTGATGGGATACGGGTAATTTTTATTGCCTCTTTACTTTTACAAATATTCTGATGCTTCTACATTGAACATGAAGTACTGTTGATTAAAGCAGAGAAAAATAACACTTTTAAAGAAAAAAATTGGAATGTAGCATATTTCATAGGGTGTGATGAGCATGAAAGGAGAGAAAGGGGAAAGAAAGTTTGGTCAGCTGAAAAGTGATATATACATGGATGATGATTTTATTATCAGTGCAAAAGCCATTACTATAAACCTTGTCAAATGCGAGCTAACATCCTCTCAGCAATGACTGATGATTCTATTATTATGCCCAGTGAGTAATGCTCAATGCACCGTCATTAATCTTATATCTGCTTATTTAATATAGTGGGGATCAAAAGTATCTATTGTTCTTGAGGATTAAAGATAGGCCTTAATAGTGATATCAGTGCATCCGATGGTCATAAATCTGCCTCTGTGAGAGCCTCATCCCTTAAGCCTCAAATCCCAGTCTGCACAAACACTGATGGATAGTGTTGGGGAGGACCTCAAAGTCCCCTTTATTCAGCAATAGCTATATCATGTCTACAGTAAATAGACTTACCAATTACTTTTTTTTTTTTTAAATCTGAGCTAATGGAAGAGTTAATAATTCATCTTCCCCCATGACCCTGTGCTAAGTGAAAGAGCCATTAGCCTGGGTAAGAATGTTTGTGAGGGAGAAGGTATTGCAGAGATTTTGAAAACTATTCACCCAGGAGATCAACTATGTTAAGAGATGCAATGTACACAGTGCCCGGAGCATATGTCCTAAAAGGGTTAGCTATGGTGGGCATGTATCCCAAATTTGCTGCGTATTTATATGAAAAGGAAACCATATTCTTTGTAGAATGAACAGTGAACAACCTAACAGAAAACAAACAAGCAAAGAGCTATCCCTGGTGGCTTAGGAAATTTAGCTACTGCAGACCCCCGTCATTGGAGGACAACCTTTGCTCCTACCCCCAGTGAAGAAAATTAGACATTTCTAGGGGTAGTCTGCAGCTGGCTACAGGGCTGGCCAGCAGTCAAAGGCCCCTGCCTAGGCTCTGTTCCATCTATCTATCTATCTATCAATCATCTTTAGAGTCTCATTCTGTTGCCCTGGGTGGAGTGTCATGATATCAGCCTAGCTCACAGCAACCTTAAACTCCTGGCTTCAAGTGATTTTCCTGTCTCAGCCTCCTAAATAGCTGGGACTACAGGCACCCATCACAATGTTCAGCTAATTTTTGTATTTTTAGTAGAGACAGGGTCTTACTCTTGCTCAGGCTGGTCTGGAACTCCTGAGCTCAAGGGATTCTCCTTCCTTGGCCTCCCAGAGTGCTAGGATTACAGGCATGAGCCACTGCACCTGGCTACCGTTCTCTTTAATCAGTTCTGTCTGGGTCCTGGGGAGCTGGCCCAGAAAGCTGACCTTTAGGCTGGCTTCAGTTCTCTGTTCTCCATAGAAGCATCCTACCATCAATCTAGATAGCTGTTTGGAAAACAGGAGTTGGAAGCACCACAGGGGAGTGCTACATAGCTCCTCTCCAGAAGTTCAAGATGCAAAGGGTGGTTAGTATTTAAAGTTTAGGAACACAGCCCATGAGAAGGTGCAGAAGAGGGAATAAGATGCCAGAGTACTCTTGCAACTACCTAGGCAAGACTGTGATGTATTACACCATTTAGACCCAGAGTCTCATTCAGCCAGCATTTATAAATCATGGGCTTTGACAGCTAAAGAAGTAGGTATGTGGACTTGGGCAAGTTTCTTAAGCTGATTTGCCTCAGTTTCCTTATCTATTAAATGGTGTTAATAATAGCCGCCTCACAGAGTCATTAAGAGAATTTAATAAGAAGAAACATGTAAATGTTTTTAGCATAATGCCTGGCACGGAATAAAGCTTGGTGGAAGGGCAGTGCCTGTGGCTCAGTGGGTAGGGCGCCAGCCCCATATACTGAGGGTGGTGGGTTCAAGCCCGGCCCCAGCCAAACTGCAACCAAAAATAGCCAGGTGTTGTGGCAGGTGCCTGTAGTCCCATCTACTTGGGAGGCTGAAGCAAGAGAATCACTTAAGCCCTGGAATTGAAGGTTGCTGTGAGCTGTGATGCCACAGTACTCTACCAAGGGCAATAATGTGAGACTCTGTCTCTAAAAAAAAAACTTGGTGGAAGAGAGCTATTATTATTATTACCTACTACAACCTGACATTGTCATTATTCCTGTTACATGCACTGATGAGGAAACTGAGGCAAAGTTTACATCATAGTGCTCTTGTGAGCATTTGCCAAAAACATTTGAGTTTGCCATGCACAACAGTGAGTGAAACCCTACTGGCTAATTGGGGTTAGAAATTCAGCTCTTAAACCAAGATGTAGCTGGAAGTTAAAAGCCATCAATCAGCTTTGTGGAAACCTCTTCCTACTGGAATCAGCAGATACCCTAGTGGATCCTATCTGCCCTTTCCCGTGTCCAGAAGGCCAGTGGCTCAGAGACCACAGAAAGGCTGTCCTTTCTGAGACACTACATGCAGTGTACAGGTTGGCCACAAGCTGCAGGCTGGAACTGCAGAATCCTGCCCTACTGAGATCCCCAAAGAAGAAGCAATCCAGCCCCCTGCACAACCCTGCTACCCAGTGTAGACAAAATCTACCACCAGGGCGAAGGAACAAAAGGGGAAGATTAGGGACATGATTAAATCCATGCATAACTTTAAAATGGTGGCAGTTACCTACTAGGAATCATTCTCCTTTTTCTCCTGTCTACCTAATCCTATTTGGCTATGGAAGGCAATGTGCACAGGTAATAAACTCACCAGTCCCCCTCACATACTTGATGTTGGAATCTAGAACAATTACAAAATAAAAGCCATAAAACCCAGAAATCATCCATAATCCCACAACCTAGAGATCACCAATGTCAGTATTTTGGTGCATTTACTGCTAACATTTTGGGGATTCACTGTGGGTACAATTTGTACCCTGCTCTTCTTACTGAACGTGATATCGGTGATGGATTTCTCCAGGTTGTTAGGGTGTGCACACTTCTCACCTGGGTCTATGCCGATTATGGTTTCCAGTTCTCTAACCTTCTGAACAGCCGAAGCTGAAGCGATGCTGTAGTGCAAAGGATCCTGGGAAATGTGATGGACTTCTGGAATTCTCTCAGGGGTGAGAACACTGGACGGAGCCTTTGTATCCCTCAGGTCAGTCATAACGGTGCAACCTGGCGTACTGACAAAAGCCAGTGGGGCCTCTGAAATACACAGCAGGAAGAACTGAGCCCTGTCGGTTCATCAAACCCCATCCACCCCCTTCTAAGCACACTACTGATGAGCAGGACGGCATCCGAGCACCAGCTCTGCCAACAGCATTCCCTGCCTGTTGGCACCAAGGTCAGAACAAACTGGCTATGGCTACATCTAGTTTCATTTGAACAGCTGCCTCTACTTTTTAGGAAAGTCAAGGTGAGTTGAGTGTTGGAAAAGAAGTGAGGTTCAGCCACAGCTACAGCAGCCAAAGCTCTGGGTGATTCCATCTGACATCAAAAAGTACCTACGAAGCTCTTACAATGCATGAAGTCATCTTGCTTGACTTCCCAGCAAACCTTAGATTTGCTACCCTCTGTAAACATACTTTCTATTTTTCTTCATAATACTTACATTTTGTTTTGATTTATGCTAATTCTGTTTTTTAAATTCTCTCTTACTAAATTACAGGCAACGTGAGACACTCCAACATAGTTATTAAGAAATAGCTTCAGCGTGGCAAATGTGTTTGAGATGTGACTGTATCCCGTCCAAACCTATTTCTTCAGCTGTAAAATAATGACAACGCCTCATATGACGGTTGGCAGAACTAAATAAAAAATGCACATAAACATGTCTAGCAAAGTGGCTAATTCAGAGCGAGCCCTCAAAAAACAGTGGTGTGGGCTCGGCACCTGTGGCTCAAGTGGCTAAGGCACCAGCCACATACACCCAAGGTGGCGGGTTCAAATCCATCCCAGGCCCGCCAAACAACAATGATGGCTGCAACCAAAAAATAGCCGGGCGTTGTGGTGGGCGCCTGTGGTCCCAGATACTTGGGAGGCGGAGGCAGAAGACTCGCTTGAGCCCAGGAGTTGAAGGTTGCTGTGAACTGTGATGCCACGGCACTCTACCCAGGGGGACAGCTTGAGGCTCCTGTCTCAAAAAAAAACAAAAAACAAAAAACAGTGGTGTGCATCACCGAACCAGCCCTCATTCTTACTCCCTTGTGCCTGGCTCATGGCTGTTTACTGCTTCTCATATTTAATTTTCCTTTTCTGCCTTCTTCAATGGCATGTTATCCTTGAGTATTCCAGCTCCACTCAGCTGTGTGCTCCTAGAAAGTGTGTGTTTCCTCTCAGAATCTCACAGGTGCCGTGCACATAATAGGTGTTTAGTAAGTGCAGATGTGAGCTGAGTAAACAACATCTTGGGTTTCACAGACGCAGTACGATTTCTTAGATTTAATCAAAAGCCAGAGCCCGCCAACTTTTTAAAAGACAGATCTGATAAGTAACTTTTAGATGTGATATATAAGATGAAGAACCGATGAAAGTACTCACTGCTAAAAAAAAAAGTACTCACTGCTTTTCTGTGTTTTAGACAACACTTAAATTGGTTACCCTAAAGCCAGGTAAACTCAAAACAGTCAGCTTGGAGCCTGACACAGGGTTTTTCCTCTAACAGTTGTGATGTATGCTGCAAATAATCTATTGCTAATAGAAGTTTAAATATGGAAGTTTTTTTTTTTTAATTTATAGTATTTTTTGTAGAGATAGGGTCTCACTATGTTGCCCAGGCTGGTCTTGAATTCCTGGCTTCAAGTGATCCTCCTGTGTTGGCCTCCCAAAATGCTGGGATGATAAGCATGAGCCACTGGACCTGGCTTTTGAAATTGGCATCTGAGAATGATTTGAGATCATCCCTGACTGATGTCATTTGGTCTCATTTAAACATGCTATTGCTGTCAGGTCTATAGGGCTAGAGTGTGCTGGGGTGTTGATGGCAATGGGACTTCTCCTGCAGGGCTCCCCTCCCATCCCCCAGCTGGTGGCAGGACAGCAGTGCAGCCACTTTATTGGAAGATGTTTACTACATGTGTGTGGATGTGCCTACACACCTGTCCCCACACATACTCAGAAATGACCACAAGCTCCTGGAGGACTGACTCTTGTCCCATCCAGCGCTGTATTCCAGGTCTGTGCATGTACAGGTGCTCAACACATGCACATTAAATAAACAAACGAATAGAATCCTGTGGATCTTGGCATCCACGCCTCCTCACCATATTAAAAATAATCTTTCCTTGGCTCGGCACCTAAGGCGCCAGCCACATACACCTGAGCTGGCGGGTGTAGTCCCAGCTCCTTGGGAGGCTGAGGCAAGAGAAGGGCTTAAGCCCAAGAGTTTGAGGTTGCTGTGACCTGAGATGCCATAGCACTCTACCAAAGGCAACAAAGTGAGACTCCATCTCAAAAAAAAAAAAAAAAAGAAAGAAAGAAAGAAAAAAAATCTTTCCCTCTCATGAGGCCATACTGCCAGTTAAATTCTCATGATTGCTTTCAAAGTAAATTATAGTAACATTGAATTCTATGTTTAATGGTGCAAGTGTGGCTGACCTGGACCAAATTTTCCAGTGTCTATAACAAGGGGCTACAATAGTTGCTATTTTTAATGTTGCCATCGCGTTCCTATTTTACTGTGAGCAGAGAGGGTGCCCTCATGTGTCTCTCCATTATAATATCACTTTGGAAAAAAATGCATGGATGGTATTGCTTTTAATAACCTTGAACACCATGAGAAATGGTTTATTTGGTTGTGTTTCTTGCCTTCACCTTGTTTTCAAGGCCCCACTGATCTTTAAAATATCTCAAAAAGTCAAGCTAGGCTCTGCGCCTATAGCTCAACCGGCTAAGGCGCCAGCCACGTACACCTAAGGTGGCGGGTTCGAATCCCCAGCCCGGACCCGCCAAACAACAATGACGGCTGCAACCAAAAAATAGCCGGGCGTTGTGGCGGGCGCCTGTGGTCCCAGCTACTTGGGAGGCGGAGGCAAGAGACTCGCTTGAGCCCAGGAGTTGGAGGTTGCTGTGAGCTGTAATGCCACGGCACTCTACCCAGGGGGACAGCTTGAGGCTCTGTCTCCAAAAAAAAAAAAAGTCAAGCTAAAGGTTGATCCTTCCATTACAATGGGCTATGAGATTTCAGTAAACAGAAATATGTTTAATCAAAACATACATGAGATACAAGACAAGCTGCTCTGGTGAGGAGACCAGCCCTAGGATTGAAAGAAGTAAACCAGAGACATAGCATGGCAGGCTGTAGGCCTCTGTTCTGTGTTTCAGTTTAGGGCTTTATTGTTAAAGCCATTGTGCTGTAAGCTTATGCTTTCAAGAACTAAGGCCCTCAAGGTCCATTCCAGAGTAACAGAGTAACTACCCTGTTAAACCCCAACGTACTGCAGCTGCTGACTGCTCCAATACTGGTCAGCTGAGAAGGCCAGAACACAGGGACGTCCCCTGGCTGACACACCACAGGATCCCCGTAGTCAGGTTTGGAAAGTTCTTTGATTCCCAACAGTCCTGCAGATGGAAAAAGAAAAATGTAATTCTCTTGGCAGGTATCATCCCATTGGAACTCACTGAGTAGTTTATGATGCTTTCTCCAGAAGGAACTCCAGTCATAGGATTATTTCAATGGCTATTTGAGGGGAGAGATGGAGTGAAGGGAATTGGGGTTGAAGGAACTCAGGAAATTTCACCCCAAAATATGACTCATTGGTATAGACTATATTTTTAATTAAAAGTCCTTAGAGATCAACAGGCCCTGGGAAGGGGCTTTCTATCTGCATAACCAGATGGACCCAATAAAGGAACAACAGAATTCCTCCCCTCCCCGCCTCTCCCCTCCCTTGTTATCTCACTATATGGCAGGGAAGAAAACCAAGTATGCAACCAGACCTGGCCCAAATCATTTTAAACATAACACCTGAAGGTTGATATACAAGTCCATCTGTTTCCCCATCCATTCATCCTCCCTAGCAACCACTCATTGCCCCTAAACAGAATCACTTATATTCCTCATCTCCCTGTCCCCTCTAAAAAGAGTATATGAAAATATCTGGTTCTCACTGGGATACTGGGTAATCACTCTGTGATTCTCTCTGAGAGCACGGTGAATAAACCTCTTCATCTTATTAATCTGCCTTAATTGTGAGTTGATCTTTCAGGGGACTGGTAGAGGAAAGGAAAAGTTTCCCCTTATCTTCCTCAAATTTAACAACATAGAACATAGGATACTCCATGACTTATAGTCCACATTGAGTGGTACAGTTTCAGGTAATGGAATCTTGAACTCTGTGATATATTTTTAGAAGCCTTGGATGCATTAAACCCAATACTTTCACTATATGGATTGCTAACAAAGCCAGCATGTATGAGTTTATCTTAATAAAGACTGAGTTACATTGCCCAAACCTAAACTCTGTTTGTTGTTTTACCAACACCAACATCCTAACCCTGGCCAATCACCAAAGTGCTGACTGACCAGGACAGCAAAGATGGATGTGTAGGGCCTAACCCATCCCCACTAATGATAAAACTATTCGGCTCACACCTTCGTGGTGAGTGGTGCTGAGGTCATCCTTAGATGATGAAGGCAGCAAATGCTGATTGCTTTCTTACAGAATGGTATGTTTTGTCTGATTTTGTCTGCGACACAGCTGAGTAAGTTCAGGTACTCTGAACTCTGACCCTCGCTCAAGGCCCAATCCCAAACTCTCATCAGGCCTTTGCAGAACCTCCAAGAAGCTGGGGCAGCTTCCGGATTTTAGCCCTTCAACTGTGGATCTGTTTACTTACTTTCAGATTGGATTAATACATTGGAGGCCACTGGATTTCGGTTAGAATTAACATTAGAAAGAAAGCCTTCTGTCCAAACATGCAATGAACAGCAGCCTAGATCAGAGGTCACTTTGAGCTCAAATCTCCAAAGAGCTCTGCTGCCACCCTCTGCTTCCTTCTACCTCACGTTCATTTGAAGTTCACAGGAGCTTTATGTTTATCAAAGATCCCCAAAGGGTGAATCTGGCTATTCTACCAAGGGTGGTTGGTACCCTTAAACCTGAAGGGCACCTGTAAACCCAGCCCTGGGACTACTGCTAGAGACTTGGAGCCTCGTCCAAACCTTCACCCTGCAAAACCCTGGAAAAGATGAGGACACCCCATGGGAGCTCAGGAGCCAGACTGGACACTGACCTGGGTCACCGATGTGAATAGGCTGTCCTCGCTCACCTCCAAGGGAGCAACTGGCCTGCACCAACTTCCCCAGCTTGTCCTCAGGAACTGCCCTCACTGTGACCACCAGAGGGCAGGAGAAGCCAGCATGGGTGACACAAGGCACTGTTGTCTGGCCAAAAAAAATCAAGTGAAAAATGTTTAAAAATGGAATATGCACAGACCTAAGCCCTGAACACCAAGAGTTCAAGGCAGTTGAATGATGGAGCAGGTCCCGGAAGGTATTATAAAAATTAGCTTCTACTTTTATATGACAGAGATGGGGAAATGTGCTGGTAATTATTGGTATAAAACAGGGAATCTGAACTTTTTATGTGCCATAGACCTCTTTGGCAGCCTAGTGCAGCTATGGACCCCTGATCAAAGTAAAGTTTTTAAGTGCATACAAGAAAATGCTTAGGATTCCAAAGGAAAACAATTATATTGTAAATGTATTTATCAAATTATGAAAAAATTCATTACAGCAATATGTGTTCTTCTTCATCAGCAGCTTAAGGAGAAAGAGGGCAGATTAGCTACCATTGTAGTTTTGAAGTAGTGACTGACATCTAGGGTATTTTTGAGATATCAGGAAGAACGGTAGTGTTATTTGAAAATGTCTGCGATTTCCTTTGGCGACCACAAAGTTACAGGGTCTCCTGATATGATGGCTGATTGTTGCCTACATTCATAATTGAAGGAAATGTTAAATTTCCCTTTGAGGTTATGAAAACAAAAATATAATATTTTCCCCATTGGATGTCATGGAACCTCTGAATTTCTCATGAATTTCAGGTAAAAAACCTGTAGGAGGATCGGAAGCAGAGGGATGCACAGAGTGGAATGCTGAAATGTCGCAGGAGGAGCTGGTGTCTACTCTGCCTCCTGAATCCACACAAGGGACAGAAACAGAGGTCTGTCCCCAGGCAGGACTCTACTGAGTCTGCCTCATTCCTCCGCCTAAGTAGAAGTGCTCATAATGATCTGGGCAACTTTCACTGGTGTCATGTTTTCCTCCCTGGATGGTTTCTGGGCCCTGCAATGGGGCTTATAAAAGATTTAGGACATGGCCAGGACTGTAATCCACTGGGACAGCCTTGGCTGCCACCAAAAGAGCGTGCTTTTACTGTCCTGGTGGCAGCAATAGAGCCTTGGTGTCCCTGTCAGCGGTGTCTGTACAACAGTACTGGGAAGAGGGAACATACTGGGGTCAAAGAGCTGGCTGTGGTCCCCAAGGCTGAGGCACATCCCATCAGGGGCATGATTCATCCCATTGAGGCCACCAACAGAGTCCCATATGGCTGCCTGACCATCTCTCCCAGGAGCCAATGGGCAGAGGAGTAGGTGTTGGACCGAAACTGTTTGGTAACCGTCCGGGTCACTGAGGTACTGTGGAAAAGCAGCAAGGGCAGGCACTTTCACCTCCGTACAAGGCATCACATCTTTATTATTGATATTTTACAGATGGGAGCCAGGAGTCTCGGTTCTAGTGTGGCTTGGAGATTTGGGCAAGCCCTTTGCTCTCTCTAGCACATTAACTGCCATGTGAGCTGTATTTAACTCACCCTCATGATAGTTTTGAGCCTGGGGCCTCATGAAACATATAATTCAAATGTCTCTTGACCTTACATGTTATGCAATAGGTGGCTCCCTGGGGCAAAACCCTGCAGTTGATTGGTGAAAATCTTACTTGTCAATGTTCTTATTGTTATAATTAATATTGACAATTTAATTCTAAAAGCATGGATTAAATGAATACAAGTCAATAAATTTCATTTTTCTATTTATATTTACTTTTAAATTACACGTAAGCCTAAGAAGTCAAGAAACATACTTTATCCTTATGAAACTATTTTTTAAGTTTTCACATTAATTTTTACTTTACTAATTTTTTTTTTTTTTTTTTTTTAGACAGAACCTCAAGCTATCCCCCTGGGTAGGGTGCCGTGGCATCACAGCTCATAGCAACCTCCAACTCCTGGGCTCAAGCGAGTCTCCTGCCTCAACCTCCCAAGTAGCTGGGAGGCACCACAGCTATTTTCTGGTTGCAGCCATCATTGTTGTTTGGCGGGCCCGGGCTGGATTCGAACTCGCCACCTTAGGTGTACATGGCTGGCACCTTAGCCACTTGAGCCACAGGCGCCGAGCCTTTTTTTTGTTATTTTTTTGAGACAGAGTTTCTCAGTTTGTTGTCTTGGGTGGAATACAGTGGTGTCATCATACCTCACAGCAACCTCAAACTTTTGAGTTCAAGCAATCTTCTTGCCTCAACTTCCTGAGTAGCTGGGTCTACAGGCATGTGCCTCCACACCCAGCTAGTTTTTCCATTTTTAGTAGAGATGGGGGTCTCACTCTTGCTTGGCTAGTCTGGAACTCTTGACTTCAAGGAATTCCTCTGCTTCGACCTCCCAGAGTGCTAATATTATAGGTATGAGCCACCTCACCCAGCCTACTTTACTAATTTTCAAGTTTTTATATTGCTTTTTTATTGATGTATGTTTTAGAATCATCTTGTTTTCAAAGTTTATATCCTATTTTCCTAATAAAACACTGGCTTCAAAGAAAAAAATTAGTATTCTATTGTGGCGGTCAATATGCTAGACCTCAGTCTCTTCCCCTATAATGAGAGGCTACACATGGGAGGGCCATAGATACCCCCACCCCCATCCCACCTGCTACAGGACAGTGCATTCTGCTGTGGGCCCTGCCAGTGGTTGGGGAACTGCCCACTCAGACACACACTTCACACATGAAGGGCAGCAGACTGTGGGCAGCTTGTTTCTGATGAGAGGCAGCTGGGGCTCAAACTAGGACATTTTAGATGAAACCCCCAATCTGAGTCCTCTATAAATAAAGAAACCTGGAAGCTGGCTGTTTTCATGCTACTGACCACTGATCCAGGAAGTGGTCAGTGGAATAGGGGCATCCAGTTTAGTCCCTCTGACAAGAGATGGCTGGAAGAAAACTTCAGGGGCCAGCAGGAAGGCAGCTCCTAACAGCAGGCACGTTCCAAGAGAGGCGACTACCAGCAGCCACCTCCTGCCAAGAGTTGTATAACCCAGCAGCTAACAGCCTGGCTGAGGCTCTGCCACAGATCCCTGGGCATTTATAGAGCCAGGCACATTCTCCCTGGGCCTCTGCTCACCAGAGTCGGGAGAATCTTCAAAAAATCTCACTGAGATGTCCTACATTAAAGAAGCCAAACAAATTCCAAATGGGTTTGGTTTACACAGCTGCAGTGAACTGTCAAGAAGGGCCACATTGGGCACTCATGGTGGTCAAAGGTTGGGCTTAGGTGAGACCAACTTTGGCTCAGAGAGACTGACAACTTGTCCTGGGTTGCACAGCTAGAAAGTGGCTAAGCTGGGATGAGAACTTTGGTTTTCTGCCCCCTGTGCCAATGTTCTCCCCACTACAGGAAAATAAAAGACATTACACATTTTCAATCCATTCTGCCCTACCTTATATGCACCTATGTGGCCAGGACCTGCTGGATCTCTTCCAGGGAGCCCCACCTTCTCCATAGTCCCTTCCAGGGAGAAGCTGCAGTCCAGGAGGAAGGCCACCATGTCCTTCAGCTGCTCCGAGTGCTCTGCCAGGGAAGTCAGGCTGCCTGTGCAGGTACCGAACTCATATTTCTGGAACTGAGGACAGCTGATTCTGGGGACACAAGGAGAAGCTCACAGGCTCCCAGACTCTAACTTTGGCCCCGACAGTGTGCTCTTTAGAAGCATTGGAGAGAGAGAAGAGGATGTCTAGTGCTGAAATTTCCAGCCCTGGTGCCCAGGAGCACAGTTTTCAGCAAGCGGCCTAGCTGTCATCCTTCATACTATACCAGATCAGAAATTATTAAATCAGCATATGTACAATGCAGCCCCTACTGCACACCCATTGTATCTCCTATAACCTTAACCCCAAACCAGCCAAACCAGAAAGAAAGCAATAATGGTTACGTCCTACCATGGAGGTGGAGCCAGCAGCCCAAAAGATAGAGAGGACATATGTCTTGGGAAAGCTCTCTGTTGGCAGTGGGTGAGGCCTTTCTTTTTTTTTTTTTTTTTTTTTTTTTTGAGACAGAGCCTCAAGCTGTCCCCCTGGGTAGAGTGCTGTGGCATTACAGCTCACAGCAACCTCCAATTCCTGGGCTCAAGCGAGTCCCCTGCCTCCGCCTCCCAAGTAGCTGGGACCACAGGCGCCCGCCACAACGCCCGGCTATTTTTTGGTTGCAGCCATCATTGTTGTTTGGTGGGTCCGGGCTGGGGATTCGAACCTGCCACCTTAGGTGTATGTGGCTGGCGCCTTAGCCGGTTGAGCTATAGGTGCCAAGCCGAGGCCTTTCTTTTTACTTAGAGAAATTCCTCTGTAGCACTGAAAGATTTCTTTGGTTGCAAGCCTATTCTTCACTCACTCCAAAATCATTTACTGAGCTGTTCCTCCATGCCAGGCACATACTAGGTGATGGGGCTATAGTGATGGAGAAGACACTGTCCTAACCTTTAAGCAGCTTGCAATCTAACACTGGTAGGTGAGACTGCATTGAGAACAGATACAGTCTAGATAGAGTGACACAGAGAAGGGAGAAATCAAATCAAACCACAGAGGAGGGGCTGGGTCTTGAGGTATGAATAGGAGTTTGCCAGTTGGACAAGGAGGAAAGCACATCTAGGCAGCATTTGGCCACTCTCAAGTTTTTGTTTGTTTGTTTGTTTGTTTTTGAGACAGACTCTCACTCTATTGCCCACACAGGAGTGCTATGGCATCAGCTTAGCTCCCAGCAACCTCAAACTTCTGGGTTCAGGTGATCCTCCTGTCTCAGGCTTCCTCCGAGTAGCTGGAACTACAGGCACCCACCACAATGTCCAGCTAATTTTTCTATTTTTAGTAGACGTAGGGTCTCATTCTTGCTCAGGCTGGTCTGGAACTCCTAAGCTCAAGTGATCCTCCTGCCTCAGCCTCCCAGACTTTTAGACCCTTAAAATCTATCTAACCCATTTATAAATGACATCTCTGATTCTCCTAGGATTACAGGTGTGAGCCACTGTGCCCAGCCTTGACCACTCCCAAGTTTTAACCCACAATAACCCAGGCTTCTTACCTGGTGTCTGAGACAGCATTTTGGGCAGGTGATATCCACTTTTCTGGCTTGCTTTGGCCCAGCAGGGGCAGAGGACCAGAGTTGGCCTGGCAGAACCTTTCAAAGGCTGGAGCGAGGGAGTTTGGCAGGACCACCATGCTGGCTGGCCAGAGCCCTGGTGGGAGAAGGGTCAAAGGTACAGTCAGTTGTTTCTTTTTAGACTCTTTTTATTGTAACTCATTTTTAAACGACAAGGTCTCACTGTGTTGCCCAAGCTGGCCTCCAACTCCTGGGCTCAAGCTATCCTCCTTCATCAGCCTCCCATGTAGCAGGAACTACAAGCATACATACTATACCACTGACACAACTCCTAATCTGACTTTTTATCGAGGCACTACATATACCCAGAAAAGTGCACGTAAGTGTATAGTTTAAATAATTTTCAAGAATTGAACACACTCTTGTAACCAGCATCCACATTCAGCCACTGTCCTGACTTCCAACATCACCTATTACTTTTGCCTGTTCTAGGACCTCATGTAATGGAATCAAACAGTATACGTCTTTTAAGTCAGGCTTCTTTCACTGAACAGTATGTTTGGGAGATTCGTCCATATTGTTTCATTTCACAATAGTCAGTTCATCCTCATTGCTCTGTGGTATATTTGTGTAATGAGTATTTACCCAATCCTACTGCCAGTGGATATCTGAGTAGGTTATTTGAGGTTATCATAGTGGTGCGACCATGAACATTGTAATAGATGCATTTGGGGACTATAAGGTATATAAATTCAGCTTTAAGAGATGTTGCTGGCTTGGCGCCTGTGGCTCAACTGGCTAAGGCGCCAGCCACATACACCTAAGGTGGTGGGTTCGAATCCCCAGCCCAGGCCCCCCAAACAACAATGATGGCTGCAACCAAAAAATGGCCGGTGCT